ACACACACACACACACACACACACACACACACACACACACACACACACACAATCACTCACACACGAACGCAATCAATCTCAAACGTATACAAACACAATACACACTTACAGTGTGTGCGTATTTGTAATTTATACTGACTGGAATAACTAACTTTAAAAACAACCTTGCTTTGTTTCTCGGGTAACCCCAGATGTAGGAATCTAGTGCACTCAAGTCAAAACAATATGCAGGTCAGTTGAAATTGGCACATCTCTAAAGACGCCTGTAAGCAACTCCCTTGTTCCTCAAACTATGTGAGCAGTTCACCCCTTCTTGCTGCCACCACTTATCTAGTGTTTCTTCTGGTGTAAGAGACCGAAAATATTGTAACACGACATCTTGAAAATCGACATGATTAATTCTAGGAACTAGGGTGTGAGGCCAATACGCCACGAAAATGGGAGGCCGCGTTCTGTGCAGATCCATACTAATTAATAGGGTTGATAAAGGAGGGCGCATTCACGTCGAACAGATACCTGTCTGTTAAGCTTAACCTTTCCTGAACATCATTGAAGAGATCACAGAACGACTGATATCTAGATCTATATCCGCACTTTAGTACAGTGTGCATCTGATCCTTGTCCAAGAGATCAAGCTGTGACAATATAAGCAACGTTGGGGTTATGCTGTTCCTTTTCAACGGATGTCAAGAAAAGAAAACACCTTTAAAAAATTGGTATTGGGAGATGAGGCGCATTTTCACATGGTTTTGTACAAAACAACAAATTAGGGTAAACCAGAGTCCGAGAATTATCCATCGATCAAAAGTTACGGTTTGGTGTGGTTTGACATAAGATTGCATAAATAGCTCATACTTTTCTAGGATGAGAAAGGCTATGCAGTAAGAGTGAACACTTCAAGATATCGTGACGTGTCCCAGCACTTTCTGTTCCCAGCACTACAATAATAATATGCACCGGACAAGAGGTGGCAACAAGAAGGAGTAACTGCTCACACAGTTTGAGAAACAATGGGGTTGCTGAGAGACTTGTTTAGAGAGCTGCCAATGTCAACTGGCCTGCCTATTGCTCTGATTTGAGTGCAAAGGATTTCTACACTTGAGTTTACCCCGAAAAACGAGTTAAAAACGACGGGCCCTGTTCGAGATGGCACAGATGTGAGAGGTCGAAAGTGGAGCCCACCGACGCCTTGCGATTTTTCATACATTAAGGCTTTAAATTTAATTGATTATTGTGAACTTCAACAATTTTCCTTTCAGATCACGCATTATTTAGTTATTCGATTTATGAATGTTGTCGTGACTTTTGTGCCACTCTGCGTATAATATACTCTTGTTCTTTCTCAGCGAGACAAGGGCATGTACTACTAACCTACTTGTGACTTGCATACGGCGCATGACTCTACAGAAAAGAATATCCTGACGACCTGCACATACAAAAAGTACGATGGTTAAGTCTGCTGGATTTCATCAGGATTCTATCCCACTGAAAGACGTCGAAGCTGGGAATGTCCACTATGAATTACCTGGAAGAAGCCAAGCAGACAAGAAATTGCTCTCTAAGGATGGTGGTACTAGCAATGACTCGTCAGACAATTCTCGTGACAAATGGGGAAGAAAAGCTGAGTACGTCCTGTCTATGATTGGCTACTGTGTTGGCCTCGGAAACGTGTGGCGATTTCCTTATGTTTGCATCAGGAATGGAGGAGGTAAATAACTTGAAGATTGACTTAAGGGTCATTTTTTTTGTGCTGCGGAGATTGTGCTGATGTCATGATTAATTGAGCAATCGACTACACGACATCCTGGTGAAAATGTGTAATTTTTTTGGTTCTATACCCATCATCTAATGCCTCCACGAGGGGGCATTTTGTTTAAACATTTGATAAAAAGGACAGTCAGTACAATGTTCTCTTTTGTTCTTCCTTTTTTATATTGTTCCATTTTGTCTATCAGGGTTGTTTGATTTGTCAAAATTGAGGTAGAAACACCCTGGTTAATAATACAAGTCGTTGTTCTAATTCGTAAATTGTCTTTGATATACTTAATAGTCATCTTCTGTTTTTACCCATATAGTTATCCTTACCTTCACACTCTAAAATAATATGTTGCTAGGTCTACGGTGGAGGTGGTGTTGAGGAAAAAATATGAGGGGATGGGGATGGATGGTGCGATAAAACAACTTTTGAATTCTTAATGCATCCTCTCTCCTTTTCTCATTTAAATTCAACACGTTTTACAAACATGATCAATCATTTCAGGTATTGATATTGTGCAATCAGTAACAAGCACAATCAAGTGCCTAATACAGCCTCATTTACAAGTAATATCTACATCGTTTTATTTCCAGGAGCCTTTCTCATCCCCTTCTTCATTTGCCTAACACTGTGCGGACTGCCTCTTTATTTGATGGAAGTGGCTATGGCTCAGTTTGTTGGCTTGGGCCCGTTTCATGTCTGGAGTATTTGTCCGATGTTCAAAGGTAATAATATTTCTTCAAAAGATTTTGCAGCCAATGTATAATGCAACAACTAAAAATAATACAAAACGTAAACAATATTAAATTAGCAGTAATTTTAATAGTGCACGTTACATCAGAAATTAATGATCAAGTATTACACAATTTTCATTTCAAAATTGAATGAGGATTTGTTGTTTGAACAGTCTGCATATGGTCGCATATATAAATAACATTGCAGTATTCTACAGGACATAAAAAGCTCACGTGTGTATACCTGAAGCCCGATAATGCTAAGTTCTACTGTTGCTCTTTCCTTCAGCAATTTATCATTGTTCATCTTGCTTTTCCCAATCACATTATCGAATGAATATTATGCATCTTTCTACTTGATACCAGGTGAAGTAAAATGTGAAGGGTAGTTCGCATTCTTAGATTCATCTCTAAACAATTGCATCGTCTTGGTCTTCTTTGACAGGTATTGGCATCGCTATGAATTCAGCGTCCTTCTTCCTCTCCTGGTACTATTCCATGATTTTGGCCTGGTCCCTCATCTATCTGGTCAATTCCTTCAGATCGCCTCTCCCGTGGACACAGTGTGGCCAGTCCTGGAACACAGCCAACTGTAGGACTCCTCATGAAATGAAAACAGGACTTAATGGAAACACTACTTTACAAGAGCTGGCCTCAAATCTAACAGAGTACTCACTGACTTCAAGAAATGGCACACCATCACTTGACACCCTGCCCCAAAATGTACCTGACTTAATGGTGTCGGATAGCTATAACTCTACATACTCACTAGAAAATGACACTCTTTTGAATTCAGTTGCCAGCAGTGTGGGAAATACAAGTGTAAGCTCTAGTGAAGAGTTTTGGATGTAAGTTTATATTTTTGTCAAAGTTTGGAATCTGTTTTACAATACTCATGTATATATACATACATACATATTATATACATATATATATATATATATATATATATATAATGTTTGATTTTAAATTAAAATCTCACCAATCAATAATCATATTATATTTAAAAATTTCTTGGAATCTTTTATCATTATACTAAGCAAATATCCGATTCTTAAAATTTCCTATCCATTCATTTTGTTTTCCTTCGCCTTATTCCCTTCTTCAGACCATGATAATTTTATTTTTTTCACATTTCATAGTATTATGCGCTCTACTTTAACGTTTCCGCTTCCCTTTTCACTCGCTCACTACATTTGCGGTGATACAGCCAAACTATATCAATGAGAGAGAGAGAGAGAGAGAGAGAGAGAGAGAGAGAGAGAGAGAGAGAGAGAGAGAGAGAGAGAGAGAGAGAGAGTAAGTGAGAGACAGACAGGCAGGCAAGCAGACAGACAGACAAACAGACAGACAGATAGACGATTAGACGGACAGACAAACAGATAGACAGAGAAACAGACAGAGAGGGGGGAAGAGAAATTACTTGTGCAACTTTGTTGTTTTGTAAAAATACTGTTATTTTTACTCTAGAAGCAGATTATTTATAAAGATATTATAATGTCCTTCTTAAAAAAGAAATAACTCCAGGTCTGTTCATTCTTTTCTCGTAAACTTCACCGAGGGTGCTTGCAGTTTGACTACAGTGGGTCCTACGTTGCTGATATTTTTTTGCATACTGGTCCTATTACTCTTTCCTAGCACTGAAATAGCGTTATGATTACGTTGTTCTTCTCTTAGCTTAATGAGAAAACATTCTGTTTTCCTCAGAAACAATGTTCTTCACCTTTCCTCCGGCTTAAGTGAATTTGGCACCATTCCCTGGGAGTCCGGAGTCGCTCTTGTGGTCCAGGCGGTCATTGTCTATCTTTGCGTGATAAAAGGAGTCAGTTCCGTTGGCAAGGTACGTGGTTTTCCTGCAAGGCAGTTGCCATTATGTTGTGAAATATACCCCCTAAAGAGGTATTTTAACTTCGTGTTTAAAACCCCTGCCGACACAATTTAGATTTTCTTAAGGCAAGTTTATTCAATCTTACCTACCAATGTCAGCACGGGCTGAAACGCGTCAAAGACCCTCTATACATCCATTGCACAAATCTTTGACCTGTTCTTCATTTTGTAACTAGATCTAGATGCAAATCTTGAATATCAATTTCGTAACAGTTCACTGCAACCCAGTCACCGACGGTTATATTCTCTAACAATATACCTTGAAGAAACAGGTGAACTCTCTTTCCATTATATTCTAAAACCTTAGCCCAGGTCAATCTGTAGGCCATCAATGAAAATCAGAAATGAGCGAGCTCTATAGCAGTGCTGTGGGGGCTTACTGTTTGATCACCTCCCATCATAGATTTTTAATCGAAATGTTCTTACTCTGCGTTTGTTAAAGACATCAGCACACGTTTAGAGCATGTCACAGGCAGGGTATGACGTTGGCTTAGGACAGGATATCGAACTGAAAGCAAAACTACAAAGAAAGAGGCGACTCATGCGGATAATGCCCAGCTTTAGCTCATAAACTGGCTGACGTAAGTGACGATTTTTATCAGCTTCGCCGAAGACGTCACTCGGGACATATCGGATTTTACTCTATATGCATGTTTGTTAATGTTCAGAATCCAAGCTGACTTTTGCAAATACAGTATACTTTTCAGCTGTTATTGTTTGATTTTTTTAGGGGCATTTTCAGGACGTTTTAAAATTCACCGTTTAGAAAAGAGTATTCATTACTGATTAAGCAAATACAACTTTTGTTACTTAGTTATTGCTGTGTTGTTTTCCTTAAAATCCCACTTTCAGATGTGATATACTTAGTTTGAATCTTCTATTTTATAAGTACCCTATTTATTTGGGGCTTGACGTTGGCCCTCACAAGTACACTAATACTTTGAAGCGTCTCTGAATACTTTTTTCCTTTCTTTTCTTGAACTGCTACAACAAATTTGCCCTCGTGGATACTTTATACTTTGAATGTTCATACCAGCTGCGCTAACGACGTATTCGAGAGCATATCGAATTCTACTCTCTATCGCAAATGCATTAATTCACCTTTTGTTGGTTACTTCTTATTTTCATACATTAGGGATGCTTTGAAAATTTCTCTATCAAATAGAGTATATTTTGATTAGGTTATTGATTAGCCCAAGTCTGAAGCACATACCGTGGTATCTTGCTACTCGGCCATGTGGGGGAAAATGTATAATATAAAGATCTTTGGTGCAGCGCTGTCCAGCAAAAGCCAAAAATCTACTCAGCAATGCCCAGTTTGATTTCATAAAAGGAATATGTTTCACTGAGGCAAACTTTACTCGCCAATAAGGGGGCGAAAGTGTGGTAAAATACAATCGACGTTTTCATCTAGTATTGTTATCTTGTATTATTAGACGCAGACAAAGACGTTGACAGTCAAATTATGCAAGCTGTTGAAAGTCTTTGGGTAAATATGAACATCAAGGGGTAGGTGCTGGGCGAAACCAGGGCTATTAACAGCAATAATAAGAGTGCATTCCACACGACTAGTGGCACATCTGGCTGTTTCGAGTAACACACGGGTCAGCCTGGACTGCGTTCTCTCCCCTTTGCTCTTTGCTGTTGTTATAGACCAGATAACAAAAGGGGTCAACTCTGTTCCCGAGGCACTCAATGCGTTAGGGCCTAGCACTTGTGGATGACCAGGTGGTGATAATCGGGAATTAGGTTGGGTTTCAAGAATATACTGACCTGGTCAACGCTTGCTGCACGTGTTACCAAACGAAAGTTTAACATCTGTTAGACCAAGGTTTTGAGTATAAGCACAAATCCAGAATCAATTTAGGCAAATATTCACAGAGGCCAACTGAAGTACGCTAGTGAATTCAAATACCTAGGAGGTTGTTTTTAACGACGGCAAATTTAGAGGTATCAAAACACGATTCTAGAAAGCAAATGAGTCAGTTACCAACTTGCTCCTTTCCCCAGACGCCCCCAAATCCCGATGAACACCAAGGCAAAAACTCACCAATGCCATATTTATACCAACAGTGACCTACTACCAGTTTTGGTCGTAGACAAAATCACAACACATTAGAGGAGCCTGGTCATCTGCCAGATAATGTCCGAGGAAAGCAGCAGTAGCCATCAGCCATATAGAACGCCAGAGAGTAAAATTGGTCAGCTACCTCTCAAGAATGCCCACAAACCAACCCGCACCGCACGCATACAACACGAAGACACTCCGACTGGAGAAATAGAAGAAGACCACGGCGTCGATGGATGAACTTTAGAAAGGAAAACATCAGAGCACACGAACTGACTCTCACCCAAGCCCCTCGATTTGCAGTTTGTTAAAAATGATTAATTGCTTCTCATCACGATCACCCACCGGGGACAAGCGGAAGGGAAAAAGTAAAAATAAAGTAACGTATTGATAAAGGAATACAAGAGCCCTGTTGCATAAAAAAATAGGATGCCTGAAATTTCTTCTTGCAAATGAAATATACTGTAATTCCGTAATGACGTATTATTACATCTTTTCAATATTTGGAAAATGTGGACATTTGTTCTTGTAAATTTTACTTCTTTACACTTTAAATGCTGCAGGTTGTGTATGTCACAGCCACACTTCCCTACATCTTGCTGACTGTCCTACTCATCAAAGGCGCAACATTGCCAGGGGCTTTGGATGGCGTCATCTTCTATCTCAAACCAGATTTTAGGTATGTACTGGGACATTGTAAATAGACGAGAGAAGTAAAAAAGAATAGCATATGCTTTGAACGTGAACAGATGGATGAACAGGTGACACAGAGGATATCAGCTATTGTTAGAGCATCTGAAAGAAGAAATGAGCGTTGAACCATGACTGCTATTGTCTTATTCAATTTTAGACAAGAAAGGAGAAGGAACCCGGGACATTTGTCCGCCATAGCAGTCATTTTGTTCTGGTATAGTATAAAATCCACAGAATCTGAACAAAATAAAACTGTCTATTGATAATTGTGCAAATAATACTGTTTTCCATTTTGTACTTTTTAGTTTAAAATATAAATATCGATTTATTCATGTTGATTGACTTTGAGACAATGAAACGGATTTGTTACATAACTTTGCTGATTGGATTATGTACTACATAATTGTGCATAAACTATTATGGCTAAGTATGAATATGACAGGCAGCATGGTGGAATCATCCTCTGGTCATAATAATCAAAGTGAAAAAACTTGCACTTTTTTGCAGGTTTGTGAATTTTTATCATTTTTGTTTTGTTTTTTTGGCTCGACACCTTTCATGCCCATTAAAGAACTAATTTCTGCGGTGAATTTTCTGAAAAACGTTTGTTAAAGGCACAAAAAGTGTACATTTCAGTTACCACGGACTCTTAAGCTAAGGAAATAACTAATCTTAGGCGACCATTTTCTCATTAATTTTACCTCCTAAAACAGGTGACCCCACCTCCTTCATTTGCAAATATCTTGATTTGTATTCAAGATATATGAACATTTTTTTCATCCAAAAAAACACAAGTGAACAATCTTTAAGATGATACCAATAACTCTTAATGCACAAAAATTGACGAGAGCCTGATTCCACCACGCTCCCTCACGTGTAATTGTATTTGACATGTGTATAACATTGCAGGTTTATGTTTGTTAATATATGACTGCGTTCATATTTATCGCTTCTCGGAGATCAATGGAGAAAACAAATTTATAAGATGAGGACTTTTTTGTTTGTTACGTACCCCAGCAAACTGGTCAGAGTGCAGACATGGGTAGAGGCTAGTCTCCAGGTGTTCTACTCTCTAGGACCGGCCTGGGGTGGCCTCATTACCATGGCCAGTTACAACAAGTTCAACAACAACTGTTTGAGGTACGTTGAACAAGGGGTGGGTTGGAGGGCACAAATTAAATGTATAGAGTCTTTTTTTTTTCGTATGTAAAAGAAACCGTAACTTATTGTAGGTATTTTACACCCTCATCGCCACATTTTAGATAACGGGCAGGCAGCTTCGACCTTATCTGACAAGGCCAATTTGGGCAAAATCCAAGCAAACAGATAGAACTTTCGAACCCTGGAAAAGAAGTCCCTTCTGCGTGCGTTACTTTTGTGTACGATTCTAAGTGCCAAGCCGCTACATCACAAACGCATGCATGTGTTCTTATTTGTAACTTCGGACAAGAGGTCTGTGTTTAAATTGGAAATCTGGCCAACAGTAACAGACAACTGCAGACCCGGAAACATCATAGACACTCCAAAATAGTAAATAGGCCGTATTGCGATTCACCGCCTATTTGAGTACTGGTCAGTTTTGGCACACTGTGCATTCTTAGTCTGAGCGAGAGAAAAGCAACACAATTCCTTTAGAAATTTCAAAGCAAGGCGAAAAATTGCTAGAATGTGACACGAACACACTTCACTTAATTCGTCAATGGACTCCCTGGGAAAAAATGTTCTTGACATTTAATCTCATTGAAATAAGACGAGATATTTTTGCTCAACGGGAACGTAACCCTTGGCTGGTATTGGAAATCAAATCCCAGCGATATCGTTAACAGTTCAAGTCTCTTCTATCTAGATCTAGTCCTCGGCTTTTACAGAATTATTTTTATTCTAAAGGATGCGACTCTAGTGCTTGCGTTTGGTTAAAATATGTTTTTCCAAGCGTTAGATCTGATAGAGATATCTGCGATCATAGTACGCATCTCATTTTTCTTTTTTTTTTTTTACTTGGGTTCACTCAAATCAAAACACATTTATCTTTTAAAAGAACATTTTCAAAACAAAAAAAACAACAACAAAAAAACACGTTTCTCGTCTTTTAAACATGTTGTTTGATGTTTTAAATTGGACTGGTGGTTTTATAGTTTTACTCAAGATTTTGATCTTATGCCCCAACCTTAAATTTCGAGTCTTGTCAAAATTGTCTTGCAGCCAAATCAGGATTGAAGGTCTAAAAACGATTTATTTGTTTTTGGTTTCGAAATTAAGGACATAAATGCTTTTTTGTCCTCAGGGACTCTGTTTTGCTGTCGTTCGCTTGTGAAGGCAGTAGTGTGTTTGCTGGCTTCGCCATCTTCACAATGTTGGGACACATGGCTCATACCCTGCGTGTGCCTATCTCAACATTCGCTAACACAGGTATGTCCAGAGACAGATAAATACACGTCGGCAAAACACAACAGACGTATTGTTGGCAGACACAAAAATTATTTCTCTTTCTTTCTCGCTATTCTTTCTTTCTTATGATCTCTCTTCCTTTCTCACTATCTCTCTTTCTTTCTCGTTCTTTCTCTTTCTTTTTTCTTCTTTCGTTCTATTGCTTTCTGTCTTTCTCTTTCTTTCTCTCTCTGTCTGTTTCTACCCCCTTCTCTCTTTCTAGCTGTTCCGTCGGTCTGTCATTCGTTTTTGTCAGTCTCTTTCTATTTCTCTCTCTATCTTTCTATCTCACCCCCCCTCTCTCTCTCTCTCTCTCTCTCTCTCTCTCTCTCTCTCTCTCTCCTCACTCTCTTAAATAACCATTTACACACCTACCCACACTCACTGATACACACACACGCGCAGACACTCACTGATACACACTCACACATGCACTGTACTCCCACAAACTCACACTCACACCCCTCCCACCCAGCACACACACAAACAGGAAATGTCTTTTTAACTGACACTTTATAACCAAACTCATTAAACTCCATATTAGAACTATTATATTCCAGAGGACAATAGTAACGCCTTACGCCCCCCCCCCCAAAAAAAAAGAAACCCCTCCCCCCACAAAAAACCCACAAATATTTTCCGCATCACAATGACAAGTAAATCATCACCTTTTTTTCGTTTTGAGAAAATGTTACATGACTAAGTTTTGTTTTGCGTAACACAGGAATAATCTACCGGTTATTGACTTGTCAGTAGATCTAGCGTTGGCAAGCGCCCAGTACGTTTGAAAACAATATTTGTTTGGTTTAGAATTTTCCCTGGTTATGTTTTATGTCAAACACCTCCCTTCATGCAGAATCTCTCCACTCATCACTGTATTGTTTGAGGTGGACGTGCGTGTAGAAGCCATAATTATTTCAAACAAACACAACGCACTTAGTGCAAATCGGCCCCCATCCTTTCTACCGAAAGAAAAAATTAAATAAAAGGAATTAAAAAAACCAAAGAACGAACTAAACGCATAGACTAGAATAAAATGGAAATACGTTTCGATGCATAAACACAAACAAACACACACATAAAT